TTTAACTTCTCTGAATGAATTATATTGTGGGTTTTTTCTATCAATCTAACTTGCAAAAAGTAAAATAAGATTTTGATTGATAGTCAATGGTCGAATGTTTGGAGCTCTTGATGGTAATAAATTCAATGTTGATTGTCTATCAGGAATCAAATAATATTGTAAAATTGATTTCCATAAAGTCTTAGGAAAAAGCATTTGATATGGTACAAATTTATCAAAGAAATCCCCCTTAGAAATATCCTGAAATCTTATTAGATTAAGGAATTCTTTTAATGTGTTGCCTAAATCAGCAAAATTTTGTGATGACCAATCTTCAACATTGATAATGTTGATTTCTGGATGTTTTGCCAATCCCCATTCAAGAATATTTTCCCATATAATTGTCTCATCAACATAAAAATCACCTCGTTTGAGAATTTCCAATAAAATTGGTTTTTCCAACAATTCAAATTCACTTGACTCAAATAATTTTTCATATAACTTTTTTGAACAGATATTCTTTAATTCACCAAATTCTTCATTGGCATAAATCAATTGTAGAATATTAACTGGATTTTCTTTTTTATATTTTTCATAATTGTCAATAAAGTATTTCATCGTATATTCATAAAGTGATTCAATACCAAGTTGATCTGCTGCAATTATTAGTTCTAATATTTCAACTCCAGAGTAATTTTCAAATTCAATTTTACATGTGTATAAAAATCTTTCAACAATAAATAAATTATTAACAGATTAATAAATAAATAATGTAATAATAAATTAATAAACAATAAATATATTTAAACTTACTTGAGAATAGGTTGGAAATGTTTTTCACTGATATTAGGTCCCTTAACAATATAATAACCATTTTCTTTTGTTGCATCGCTTAATGCATTACTAAAAAATTGACAATGTGCAGATATGATAGATGCATGTGCATGAACTTCTTTAATGTTTGGTTCTACACCAAGATATATCTTTACATCATAAAACTCTTCTGTATTTAATAATCTTTCATTTTCATTGAAATACTTTTCCAAAGTTATTGAATCACTATTCAATTTGAACATTTCATTAAAATAAATTTCAAAATATTAATAGAGCAAATAAATCTTTCTGTGTGCATCTTACCGAAAACCAGATTCTACATTAACTTGCCAAGTTTGATTAACAGATTCACTTACTGTAATATAATTTTCATGGATTTTTGCAGAACATGATAAAGTAAATGCCGTGAAAGTACCAAATAATAATAAGGCTTTGTATAATGATAAAAACAATCTCAGTGGATGCATATTTAAAACAATATTAAAAACCCTAAATATTAAAGTTCAATCAATACTGGCACGTGTAACCTAGCTGCATAAGTCCTAGATTGATAAATTAATTCTACTATTTTGATGTTTAATATTAATATTACCGCCTGTATTAAAATCACCACTAAAAGCAGGCAAAAAGAATAATTATCATTATCAATAACAAGACTAAACTGTGCAGTTTTAGTATCATTTCTTTTGGTAGGCACATTTGTTAGAATTGATAAGGTTGTTAATTAGCGTTGTAATATTTTGGAAAGAATTTTTTCCTTAACATTATACTCAATTAAATTAATCGTAATCTTAATATTATCTTAATCTTCCAATGCAATTCGAATAATCAAATTAATTACGAATCATTCGTTTGATTTGAATAAACTTTATTCGAATATAACTTTATTTCTTCATTCATACCCTGTAGCACAAAACCCTTTTTTTCCCGATTCATCGAATTCAATTACATTTAATTATTTTTTTTTAAGTGTATGAACTTTGTATAGGGTCGCAAAACATCAAATAAATAACGTGTTCTATTTTTTTCTTTTAAGCATTAACTACATCACCTTTCTTGATGCATTTTTGCTAAATAATCTTCGTACTATATCGATCGAATAGCAGGGTGTGCAAATTATTATTTTTTTTTCATAAAAGCAAGCTTTTATGTGTTCTGGTCTAAAGTTAAAGAAAATCTTTTGGAACTTTGGTGAAAAAAAGGTAATTAATTCACAATGTATTAGTGGATTCGCCTATCAAAATATCCTTTATTTTCAAAAATAAATACTGTATGTTACTTTCTATAAAATATTACCATTGGGGTTACGATTATATTATGTTGATAAACACAATTTGAATAATTTAAGGATGTTGTTGCGTTTGAAATAAAACTTCCGAGGGAAGCTTTACACAATCTCATATATTTATTGTTGGGAATGTTGTTTAATGTTGATCTTTTATAAAAACATATAATAAATTAAATACTATTTTTTTTACCTAGAAATGAATTCAAGACGTTAACAAAACTAGTATTCTGGATAATTTTTTGACATTTATAATTCTAAAAAAAAATTATAACATTGTATTATACCAAATATTCTTCGAATTAAAAATGTCTTCATTTATTTTTTTGAAATAATTAAATACGAGCTAAAAATATTGCCAAAGTCCTATATATATTTACATTACATCACCAAGGAAATAAACATACGCACTGATTTTGTTTGAACCTCAAAATTCAGTACGGTATGGTCATAACGTTATGAATACTTTACATTGGTTTTGAGGTGAGGCCATTGGTTTGACGGGCTGTTGAATAGTAAAATAGTTTTTTAGCGGCTAATTATCATTCTACTGACCAATTTACACATTAAGAATACTCGTGTTTAATGTCGAGATATAAAGTTTGAAATAAGGTCCAAAAAACCAAATAAGCTGATATGAGTACTATCAACGCACTAATTCTTGTAATAAACTGTCGTCGAAGCAACATTTATCATATTTGCCGTAAACCATTTAACAATTTTTGCATGAAATTTCCCAACAACTCTTCAACAACTGGGTTGGTCACCACTAATAAATCTTCGTAGATTACAGTTGATTCATATGATCAAAAAATCATATTCTCTTTTTACCAGATGGCATATGGAGGGTTTTTAAAAGACATAATTTCATCTTTGGCTTCTTCTCCTTCTTCTTTTAAAAAGTCTTCGCCTGGGAAGCCTAATTCTGAGGGTAAACATTCCCAAAATAGTTTGGCATTGCTCGCTGAACATACAACCAATTCCAGCAGCAGTTAATATGAAAAATATTTATGTATAAATCTTAAATCTGAAAAATCTTAAATAGGTTCTTGATACCCTGCTAGTATGACCTATACATCAATCAAACATTGCTGCAAAAATTTAGATTTAAAAAAGCTAAAGGTCATTAAATCAACGGATTGTTTCGCTCCTCAAAGAAATCAAGCCTGAAAAAAACACAATATTGCTGTTGTATCACTACGAATCGTTTTGATGAATTCTACTTATTATTTCCTAAACCACTTGAACCAAGGTCCTAAATTTTCAGTGGGTGAAGAGAATAGAGGTGCCCACAAAAGAATTTGCAATCTTGTGGACCATATTGTTTTACTTCCTAAATTAGACATGGTTTTGGAAAAATCCAATCTAAAACTGCGTTAACCTGATCACAATTTCATTTTCGCCAACATTTTCTCCACAAATTGTGTGAACATCCTTGGTCTGCTCCATACGTTTTACTAGTGTATCAAACAAAAACCTGGTCATTAAATGTACATCTTGCAATTCAGCTATCGGTAGAGATGCAAATAGAGCCTGTAATATACTTTTAAAGTATATTGTGAAGACACAACAAGCACTGTTCGTTTACACTCGATTGTAGGCTGTCTACGTAGGACTTGTACTTGGGCATAGGTTAATGTAGAATTAATTTTGTGTAATAAAAAGGGTGACACCAAATTACTAAAATTAATTATTTCTTCTTTTTTTAAAAAATGGTCTTTTGTAGATAATAATATTACTATTTTATTACTATTATTTGTTTGTATTTTTACTTTAATATTTTTTTTTATACTTTCTATTAAATATTAATAAGAATAATCCCATCTAACGTTTTTATTAATAAAATTTTTTGAGAAAAATTTTTAAATTTTATTAATTTTATTATTAATTAATTAATTAATTAATTTTTCTTCTTTCTATTACTTTCTTTACAAATACGCACACATACATTACAATATTACATAAAGAGAAATCTTTTAAATCTTCTTTCTACTTTACACTAAAAGTCGTTACAATGAATAGTATTAACTACGAGCAACCATTGCGAGTAAATTCACCTAGCCTCAACCTCGCTGATAATAAAAATATTATCAGTAATACCCCTAATTTGAGTATGATGAACATGAACATGAATATGAATAATATGAATCTTATTAACAGTAATGGTAAATTGTATTTTCCACCTCAAATGTTAGCTATGGGCAACGGCCAACTATTGTTAAGAGCTCCACCACAACAACAGCAACAACAACAACAGTCGCAATTCAATGCAACCGTTAATAATAATAGTATTAGTAATGCTGCTGCTGCTATCAACCAAGTATTACCACAAGCGACATTAACTTCAGCAATGTTAGGTGGTATTAATAATAATCCAAGAATGATGCCGACACCTTTATTAGCAAATCAAAACATTTCTCCAACAATTACCACTACAAATAATAACAATAATAACCAGTTCTCAATTAATAATAATAATAATAACAACAACAACAACAACAACAACAACAACAACAACAACAACAACAACAACAATAATCTAAAACAACAACAACAACAACAACAACAACAACAACAACAACGTATAATGACTCCCACTTTAGTAAGTTCTGCTAATATGGTTGCTGCTGCTGCTGCTGCTGCTGCTACCACAATACCAACCAATTTGAATTTGAATCAACAAAATATACAACAACGACGTGCTATTTCACAACCTGTACTAATAAATCAATCTATATCAACTAATAATATCAATAACAGCAATAATAACAACAATAATAAAGTAAATCATCCATTACTTCAACAACAACAGCAACGTCCAGTTGTTTTAAACCATGCTGCTAATAATAACAACAACAATAACAATAACAACAACAACAATCTTACAAATCAACAACTTGCCATGCAACAACCTTTTATAGTAAATCCCCAAACCATGTCACAACCAATAAGACCGCCTATTTCAAAGTAAGTAATAATTAATTATTGATTATTGATCAATTGATCATGATCTTATATTATTCTGTATATTTAAACATATTTAATATTATATTAGCTAATTCATTCTAATTCAATGATTGTATTTAGTGGCATTATTGCACTTTTAAATTTTGCTGAAGTTGTATCTGGCGTATCTCCAATTTTCAATGTAAGTATATTCCAATTGAACGTTTAATTTAATTAATTGATTGGTTGATTAAGAAATACGTAATCAATTATTCATATTCATAATTTATATTCATATATTCATATTTGTATATAGCATTATAAAAAAGATGATATTGCTGCTTGGAAACAAATATGTGGATATTTTTTTGCTGAACTTTCTTCTATGAAATTACATTTACCAGAACCACAGGCTGGAATTCAAGTGTCTAGAAAATTTGGTATTGATTATTAATGTTATTCTTATTATAATATTAATTACAAGCGATAATTGGTTATTTATTAATTATTTATTAATTATTTTAGAATTGAAAAATTGTATAATTCCCAGATTCCTTTTATCATTTTATGAATCAGGAATAAGCAAAGTGGAAATAATCATGACAAACCCTAGGGAATTCGTTAAGGGCAGTCATGTTGTAGATTGTTCAAAGTCATCAATAGTATACCATTATACAAATGGATTTCAGGTACATATAATTATTAAACACATCTATTTTTATTAAAGCTTCTCGCGAGTCGGCTCGCGCGAAGCTTAAATTTTTATATTATAAACAATAATAATATTATTATTAATCAATAATATTTAGGTGGTATCTACTGGTAGATTGTTAGCATTGCTGAATCAATCTCTTAAAATTGTAAGTTTTGAATACGAATCACGTGAGCACACTGTATATGTACCTCGTAAAGCTTCAAATAACCAAGTAGACATTGAAATCAATGAATATGGATTCCCAGAAAAACCCATGAGATGCCTTGAAGTAATTAATAATTATAATTATAATCATGATACATATATATATTAATAAAATAAAATATGAATCCCTTATTAATTATAGATTGCAGAGGGTGTTGATTGCATTCAAGAAATCATGGTGGCCACTTTAAAAGATCGTTTGACAGGCCCTCGTCGTAAGTTTTTTTTACACAAAAATAAATTAATTCTTTTTATATTTTCATTTATATTTATTATATTTATTATATTAGAAATCCTACGAGCTATTGCCAACAATGCTGCTTCCACTTCATCAACAGCAGCCACTCCCATTACTGCCTCACCTATAACAACAACAATAGCAAACACCGGCACCACTCCCACATATACTACCGTTTCACTCAACAACAACAACGACAACAGCAGCACTCACCAACCTCCAGTTGCATCAGGTGTCAACGACATACCAATCAGGGAAGAAGTTTTACCATATGATCTTGAAGGAAAACATAATAATAATGTTCCATTAACACCTGGTACAACTGACGGGCATCAATCAATCTCCACCACCCCTATAATCGACTCATCCAACACGTCCACACCAACTGCTACGCCTATTTCTATGAATGGATCACCTGCTATCTCAGGTAAACTATTTCTTTTTTCTTTCTAGTTATTTAATATAATCATTCAATTAATTATTAATAAATTAATAGAAGCGACAATAAAAAGAGCTAATGCCAGTAATAGCAGTTCTCCTGCTATGAAGAAAAGGAAAACTAATAAAAAACCTAAAAAAACAAATTAAATTAATTTTTAATTTTTTTTTTAATTTTTGTAAATAATAATTTTTAAATTTTTAAGATATATTTGTAGATTTCTATCATCAATAATATATTGTTATTATTATTATTATTATCAAACACATCCAATAATCTATTATATTAATTAAATAGGTTATATTAATAATGATGATAATATAAATAGATAATTTGTAAATTATAATTTTATAAAGAACATTTTTGTTTAAATATAAATATATCACATTAATATTAAAATTAATTACTCATAGTACTATATATATTAGCTTTGAAAAAGAGTGAGGAAGATCTTTGAATTTATCTTTCACAAATGAGTGAATATATTATTATAAAGATATTCTTGATATTTAAGACTTATAGGAGCGGGTGTCAACATTGGAAAGGATAAGGTTTTAATGTCTTTTATAATGTTAGGATTTAATCAAAATTACTTTTAATTTAAAAAACAAATACAGATTCTTCGATATACTCTCTTTCAAAAGAATAGTTTTCTCACTAAAAAGTTTCACATATTTAAAAGTTCTAATAATAACCAAAGACCTAAAATATTATTTCAAATTCTTCCTGATAGTTTTCTCTTTTGAATTTTTATAATAAATTTATATTCAACAGCTGACTAATATTAAATTTAACAGCTCCAAAGTGGCCTCAACAAACGAATGATTTTATACTGACATTTGTCCCTAAAATCCATAAATTGTTTTATCTAAAAAACAAAATGCAACAATTATTAAATGCTATATAAACAGAATTTTAAATACTCCAAAGACAAATAATTAACAGTTTTTTTAAAAATAATTTAATTATTCTATAATATCCATAATAAAAGTATTTAACTTTAACTTTTATCCAGGAATCAAAAATTGTAATATTAAAGTTTACAATCTCCTCCTTCCCTTGGATATTATGGTTAAAGAGTGATGCTGACATTATTATTCTTTCGCCTTGGCTTTGACTTAGTTGTTTCTGGTTTATGTGTATGGCTAAATCTTAGTTTAATTTGTTTTCTTCTTTCAATTGCTTAATAAGTTTTCATGGTCTTTCTGATCTTGTTTTCTTTCAGCCTTTATCTTTTAATTTATTTATTTCATTCTGGATCGCTTCTTTATTTGCTTTTTCACTTGGTTTCCTTCTCTCAATAAATATGATTTCATCCAATTCGATAATTCTTTTTTTTTAAAAGTTTTCAATTTACCGCTTTAAATTTGTTATCTCCCACTTTTTTAAAAGTAAATATTTCATTCAAAATTTTGATAATTAATCAAATTTTGTAAATTGATTTCCTAATTATAATTTTTGGCTTCCTTTCGTTTGATTAAGGGGTTTTTCTGGATTCTTCTTTCTCGATTGTTTAATTTTTGGTTTTGTTCTTTGGTCTATCCAAATCATTTGGAGCACAGCAAAGAAAATAGAATCATTATCATCGTTTTTTTTTTTTTGTAAACAACAAATTCAGACTTTTTGTTATTAAGAGACACTACTACCACAGCCATTACATCGGGTTTTGTGTATCAACTGACTGTTTATTCTTGTTTACTTTCTGTACTTTATTGTTCAGCACTGTAGGAAAATTATTATCATTATTTTTTTTTAAAAGATAGTCAATATAAGTTTATCAGCTATAACTTATATCAAGGTGATCCCCCCTCGGCTCTTTTAGAAGTTTTAGATCCCGAGTAAAACAAAAACTTTATCGACCATTATTTAGAAACCCCTTTTGATTGCTCCCAATAGTAGCAGCGATATTAACACAACCAATGTTCTGAAGACAAAATTAAAGAAACAGAGAATTTGAGAAAATGATTAATTTATAACATACTAAACAAAATCCAAACCATTTTATTTTACAGCCTCATCCTAACATCGGAGCCCAAATCCAATTTCAGGGCCACCAACCCTGCTATGAATTGCAACCTCCTGTGCTTGAAGCGAGTTGCAGATTCTCTTAATATTCCTCCAGAGTTGCGACTTGATCACAGAGCCATCATTACCCTAGAAGTAAAATCGTTGCAGGAAACTTTTCATCTAACGTGCTGGCAGCCTTCTCTGATGAGGTGCTGTGAGGGAAGATTAGTGAAAGTGTCATTGACGATTGATGGAGCTTTGATAAACTCCAGGGCCATGCGCCCCCTGGACAAAACTTTTCCTTATCTTCTCCTCAGACCAGGCTGGCTGTTTCCATATGGGCATTGATCACTGATAAGAGTTGACATTCGTGTGATGATTGCTTTGTGTTATACCTCTCTAGAATAAAGTTGGTACCTGATTTAAAATTCTCCAGCTCAGAATGTTGCAACCTGGATTGCTGTTTTGGATTCAGAGTTTTGAATCCTGGATTGCTTTCTAGTTGGTGGCGCACTTACTCACCAACAACCCTACCCCCTTTAAATAACAAATACAGTTGGCTAAATAAAAATTAAACAGAAAATTTGGGAATGATTAATTTATATAACATACCAAACAAAATTCGATCCATTTTATTTTACAGTCTTCTCCCTAATACCAGAGCCCCTGTTATGAATTGCAACCTCCTATGCTTGAAACGAATTGCAGATTCTCGTTGTTTTGATGGATCTAGATGTTTACATGGCACTACAATTCATCTACAGAGTTGCACTTTGTCACATATTCATCTTTACCATAGAGGTAGGATCGTTGCAGGTGACTTTTTGTCTAACATGACAGCAGTTTTCTCTGGTCTGGATGCTGTGAGAAAAGAATAATGAAAAGTGTCATGGGCGATTGATACAGCTTTGATGCATTCCAGGGCCATGTTGCCCCTCACTGGAATTCAATTGCATCATTGTATCATCAGGGGAATCTTGGTCAGATTAGCCTTTATACACTAGGAAGGTGTGTGAATGACTTATATGGTGTTCAAGGTAGCATGCATGCTTCAACATCTGCCAATTTCCGATAATCAAACATTGCATGTCGAAATGTTTCTTCTGTGACAGTCATGCTGACTTGACATCTTGTAATTAATTATAAAATTAATATTAATAACAATTACGCAAGGCAAAATACCAATCATTTACCATCTTGATAAGGATCTTATAATTACCCCGCAAGATCTGTTCCGCGTTTCATTTCCAATTAAAATATTTATAAACTAAAATAAAAATATCAATACAAGTAAAAAATAGTGCCTCCGGTTAGCTATTAACACAACTTCTTTAGGTGACTCACGTTTTGTCATCTTGTAAAAAATAAATTGTTTTTCCAAAAAAAAATCATTTCGCGTCAACAAAAAAAAATGGGGTAAATAATAATAGTGTACGCGCTTGTTGATCAAATAATAATTTTTTTAAAAAATTTAAAAATGCCTAAAGAAAATAAAAAAAGAAAAAACGAGGTAGATTTCTGGGTAGTGTTTATCATAAGAACGATGGTGGTTATCGCCACTTGTTGTCACTCTAATTATAGTAAAAGTAAATCATTTATACGTATCGAACCGATAATTATTACTATCAAAATATCAGTCATCATTGTCATTATGAAGATTTGGACATTAAACGACATTGATATCGGAGCCAAATTGGGCAAAGGGGGATACGGTATCTTGCAAAAGAGCACACCTTTTTGCAATAAAAGTTATTCCAAAGTTAAAAAGTGATAAGTCAAATTAAAAAGAGAAATCGAAATTCAAAACAATCTAAAGTATATAGATATATATGTTGGTATATACATATTTGTTGATATTTTTCCAGAAATATGTTAACTACATATTATTCATTTATACGGATATTTTCAGAGCAAGGAAAATTTTTAAATATGCCGCTGGTGTGACTTATACACAGTAAAATCTTGGTTTGGACAATTAGGGAAATTTTTCCAAAAATCTATTAAATTGATATCCACTATATCAAGAAGGTTTTTATTAAGGTTTATTATGGACCTGTTCTTTGAACTTTATCCGTAAAACCGAGATTTTTAATTAGTATCCACTAAATCGAGATTCAGTGTATAAATATTTAAAAAAATGCAAAATATTTACCAAACAACTAAAGATGGCTCCTCAATTAATTGCGACTAGTTGCAATTGCGGTTCCCATCTTTACAAATGTCACACGTCTAAAGTTTGTAATTGATTGTGAATGGAGGATTTTTTTTTGATAATGATGTTGATTCAATCAATATATTTATATTTATTGTAAATTAATAATATATTGCACAGGCAGCAATTGCTTTAGATTATCTTCATTCTAGAAATATAATTCATAGAGACATTAAACCTCAAAATATCTTATTGGGAGTAGACAATGTTCTCAAAATGGCAGACTTTGGTTTCTTGGTTGATACTATGGAAAGGTAAAAGAATTTGATTATTACGATATAATATTACTGTATTTATTATACAACATCTAATCATCTTATTATTATACACAATATCCAATAAAGACGTAAAACTGTCTGTGATATGTTAAATTACCTTCCACTAGAGATGGTAGATCGTAGAGCCTACAATCCCAAAGTTGATTTATGAAACCTCGGCATCTTGTTACCAAATGTTAGCTGGGACCATTCCTTTTTCAGGGTCCACAACCCAAGATATATACAGATCTTGATTGAAAATAAAAAAAGTAATTTAAAGAAGATTAAGGAAATATTTTCTTCTATATAAGTTGAAATTCATTCCAACTATCAAAGAGGATGATAGTTATGTTCCTTTAGATGTAAGTTAATATTCTGGCTTTTGATATCTTATTGATGATAAGAGGTATAACTTTAATTTTAGGTTTTATAATTGCTATGATTAAAAGAATTAAAAGAAGAAAAAAATAAATCAATATTTGCAATAATAAGATTATTTTCCTTTGAAGGATTTTTGCTTTTTGTTTTAAATGTTTATGATTTTTCTTTCTTCATGGTAAATTTCATAATCCTTTCTTTTCTTAGATAGGTTTCAAGTGTCTGAGTATCGTTTATTTTGAAAAATGTAAGGAGCAACTTTTCACCTTGTTCTTTCTTTAAAATACTTCTAATTGTGCTATAATTCTTGGGTTCCATGGTAGATCTGATGTAAATGAATTTCATTATTAACTATTTTTATATAGATAACAAATGGGTATTATATTGTAAAGCTGTTAATATTATTTATTAATAACGCATGGTGTTACCCGAAAACAATACCTTCTCCATATTTCGTTATTCATTTAATCACATTTTTTATCTTTAATAATTTCTTTGTAATTTTTTTACAATGACGTCATACTGGTGGAGAGAAATTGTACCAGTACTAGAATAATATATTTTCTTTGACATCTCTAGTTGATGGTCACATACAATAGAGTTTTTCCGGTCCTGTTAAAAGAGCTCTTTTTGCAACTTAATTTAAATGTGGCTTTAATAGTTATCTTTTACTCTCAACTTTTTTTAAAGAGCAACTATCAATATTCAACATTGATTGATCATTTGTTCTCGAATTTTTTTAATTATCATTTTATATAATTACAAAAAAAAGTTGAACTACCACGCTTTGAAGACCATGTGTGATGCAATGGAAAATTCAGAGCAAGGAGGAAATGGGCCCTGAATGCTCGATTTGCATCTATCTGGCTTCTTAAAAGAACATCTTATGTTCACGGGATTTTTGTGGGGTATTCCTAATAAGACCGCTTGACTTATTAATAATAAATATTTAATATTAAAAAAGTTTAGAACTTTAGGAATCTAATACATAAATATAAAAATTTTCATTTTGTTCGACTTATCAATCTATTTTTAATATTAATATTAATATTATAAAGTTTTTATTGTTGAAATAAAAAAATAAAAAAATAAAAAATAAAAAATAAAAATAATACAAGGAAAAAAAATATTGAAAGTTTATACTATTAAAAAATTACGATATTTATATTTATTAATTGATTAATAATATTAAAAAAATTAACTATAAAATTTTTAAAATAATAAAAAAAAAAAAATAATAAATAAACGTTATAATTTTAATTATTATAATAGTTTTTTTTCTAATTCTATTAAACAAATTCTAATTAATCGACTTCTTCGATAGTAGGCCCTGAATCATCACCACCGGAGCTAGCACCTGGGAAACCACCGGGAGCAGCACCAGGTGGGAATCCAGCAGCACCTGGAGCACCACCACCTGCACCATAAAGTTTCATCATTATTGGATTAGCAATCTCTTCGAGTGATTTTTGTTTATGTTCGTATTCTTCTTTTTCTGCTTCTTGATTGTTATCAAGCCATGAGGTTGTTTCGTTAATGGCTCCTTCGAGTTTCGTTTTATCAGCTGGTTCAAGCTTGCCTGAAATTTTTTCATCCTAAATAATAATTAATTTTTTATCATGTTAAAAAATTATTTCATCATCACTCGGAAATTGCGAATCAGTTAATAAATTGTTTGTAATATTTACCTGAAGTGTGTTACGTAAATTGTATGCGTAACTTTCCAAACCATTACGTGCTGTTATTCTTTCCGCTATCTTTTCATCTTCTGCGCGGTATTTCTCAGCATCGTTAACTAAAAATTTAATTAATCAATTAATAAAATCAAGTATACCAATATATGCTATTTAAAATCAAAATCAAAATTGATTGCATACCCATTCGTTCAATTTCTTCTTTTGATAATCTTCCTTTATCATTAGTGATTGTGATTTTATTTGATCTACCAGTAGTCTTATCAACAGCTGATACCTATTTTATTTGATAAATAAATATAAAGATCAATGTTAAAAATCCAATCCCGATTATGGCCCAAAGTTTTTAAGAGTTTTAATTGAAATGAATACATACGTTAAGAATACCATTAGCATCAATATCAAAAGTGACTTCAATTTGAGGCACACCACGTGGAGCTGGTGGGATACCAGTTAATTCGAATTTACCCAGTAAGTTATTGTCTTTGGTACGTGTACGTTCACCTTCATATACTTGGATAAGTACACCGGGTTGATTGTCAGAATAGGTGGAAAAGATTTCCGATTTTTTGGTTGGAATTGTGGTATTACGTTTGATAAGTGGGGTCATCACGCCACCAGCTGTCTCGATACCAAGTGAGAGTGGTGCGATATCAAGTAAAAGAAGATCTTGAGTTTTTTCTGATGTGTCACCAGTTAAAATGGCAGCTTGTACGGCTGCACCATATGCAACAGCTTCGTCGGGATTTATTGATTTGTTTGGTTCTTTGCCATTGAAAAAGTCTGATACCATTTTTTGGATTTTTGGAATACGGGTAGATCCACCAACCAACACAATTTCATGTACTTGGGCTTTATCTATCTTTGAATCACGGAGCACCTTCTCAACCGGTTCCATGGTGGAGCGGAACAAATCTTGATTCAATTCTTCAAATCTGGCACGAGTTATTGATGTGTAAAAGTCTATACCTTCAAACAGCGAATCGATTTCAATGGATGTTTGTGCTGATGCTGAAAGTGTACGTTTGGCACGTTCACAAGCTGTTCTGAGACGACGAAGAGCTCTGGCATTTGTGGCAAGATCTTTTTTGAATTTACGTTTGAATTCCTGTACAAAATGATTTACAAGCCGATTATCAAAATCTTCACCACCAAGATGGGTGTCACCAGCAGTGGCCTTTACTTCGAAAATGCCATCTTCGATTGTCAACAATGAAACGTCGAAAGTACCACCACCCAAGTCAAAAATCAACACGTTACGTTCTCCGACTGTTTTCTTGTCCAATCCATATGCAATTGCAGCAGCTGTTGGCTCGTTGATGATACGAAGCACATTCAATCCAGCAATCATACCGGCATCCTTTGTTGCTTGACGTTGAGAATCGTTGAAATAGGCGGGTACTGTAACGACTGCATTTTTTACTTTTGTACCAAGAAAAGCTTCGGCGGTTTCCCTCATTTTTGTTAATACCATCGATGAAATTTCTTCTGGAGTAAATTGTTTAGTTTCACCTTTATATTCAATCTGAATATATGGTTTGGTAGCTTTATCAACAACTTTGAATGGCCAATGCTATATATAATAATAATTAGAAGAAGAGGGAAAAGAAGTAGGGAATTAATATAAAATCGAAAAACCAAGTCAAATGATAGATAATAATCGATAAAATAATATACCTTCATATCAGATTGAACTTCTGGTTCGTTAAAGCGGCGACCAATAAGACGTTTAGCATCAAAAACAGTATTAAATGGATTCATAGCAACTTGATTTTTTGCAGCGTCACCAATTAAACGTTCGGTATCGGTAAATGCTACATATGAAGGTGTTGTGCGGTTACCCTGGTCATTTGCAATAATTTCAACTCTGTCGTTTTGCCATACACCAACACAAGAATATGTAGTTCCCAAATCAATACCAACTATATATAGTATTATTAATTTAATATTAAATTACATTAGTTATTAACTTGAAATAAATATACATGGTAAGAAAAAAAATTTTAAATGCGATAATTACCTGCTTTTCCTTCTACTTTTTCTGCTTTTTCTTCAGTCATTTTTATAATCTTTTATTTTTGTTTAAAAAATAAAGGTGTGTTTTTTTTAAAAAAATATTTATATATTTACAAAGGAAAAAAAATAAAAAAATTTTATTTCGCTTAATTAAAAAAAAATTTTTTAATCAAGATTTAATATTTTTTTAATATTTTTAATATTTATATATAATCGAAAAAATTTTTTTTTTTGGAACAAATGGTTCACATTTCGCTGTATATAAACTTTTCGTCAATCTTTCCAGCAAGTTCCATATTGATGACATTTTATTATGGAAAGTTCTGGAGCCAACTAGTTAAAATTCATTACCATTTTCCGTTTTTTTTCATATGTTGTGTGTATCAATTAAAAGTATATATATGACAACGTGTAACATTTTCAACAATATATTTTCTAAAAGCGGTCTTTTTTATTCGGCTGATGAAAGGATTAAAAAATAAACTAAATTTAATCTCCCCCTTATTATTCAAAGATGATTTAATGTCAATTTTTAATTATGATACATGATTACGTTTGTCTGCTTAATAATTTTGTGGAAATTGTATCTTGCTAACGGAGTTTTTTAGGTTGATAACTTTTTAATCTCCCCAAATTTATATTTAAATCTTCAAAAACCACCTTATCAATGGGTCGTGATTTCTTGGGGTCTTCTGGTACTTTTTAAAGGTACGATGTCCTCAGCTATTTCTAACCAACTTCTGATTGCCTCGGGTTGGTTGCTTTTACGGATAATTCATGTGATATCAATTATTATTGGTGTTTTTGGCATCAATTTCAATCATACTTGGCGTTTAGCGTTTGACTTCAATTTATTGAAATACTAAATGAAGAAATCTACCATGTGATGATATATATATATCTCTAGCTATTATTGTGTTCAAAGCTTGTGTGTGAACCGGTTCGAACCGGTTCGTACCATTAAAAATTCCTGAATCGAATATTCGATGTGGTGTTCACACAACATTCTAATTATTATTATACTTTCGAACGTCCGTAATATTTTTTGAATGTCCATGTTAATATTAATATTGTTATTATCAATTATAAATTTATTATTTACACTTGCAAAAACATACAAATTACCACATAAATTATTTAGAAACAGATACTTTTTGCCTTCATCTTCTTCATTTCCATCAATAAAATGATGATTCCAAGTAAAACTTTCTCTGGGTCTCCGTGTTTTGCCAAAGTTTTGGTTACATTACTAATTACTAATTAGAACGATGTCATTATTTACTGAAAACATTTTATCCAAGATATTTGACACAAATTTCGAGCTAATACTAATACCATATCGGCTTTTGGTGTTCGAATAGAACATTGATTCGATGGCTCGATTCGAACCATCGAACCATTTCAACAATCCGAACGTTACATAGACAGCGCACACTTTAAAACAATGATTGCACATAAGTATTTTTCACTTGACTTATTATGTGCAAATTTTATTCAACATTTTTTTAAAAACAATTGTTCAAAATAATTCGTTTTGAATAAACATTCATGTTTTTTGGAAATTTTTTTGTAAACAAGCATGGTTTTTTGAATAGAACCTTCGAAAAGCTTTAAGCTCAAAATGTCAGCTTTAACTAAAAGTCAAATATGGCGAAATCATCAGTCTTTGTAAAAAACAATATATCTATATAGAATTCTTGGTATTTATGAGAACATGATTCAAAAAAGGGACAACTTTACGCCGGAAAAATCTTTATTAAAATTTTAATATTCATGGTTCATTTGATTCGAATGTTTGATGGTTCGTATGGCGCAAGCCATTCTATCCTAAAATTGTTGGCTCAATTCGACCAGTAGGCTCTAATGATGTTGTCTAAAGTATTCAAGGTTGTGGATTAATTTCCCTAGAGCCTTAATAACCATTTTAGCCCTTCTCAATAGTGAGGATCTTTCTTCTTTGACCAATGTAGATGAATTGAAACTATGTGAAATTAAAATTCTATAATTAAAATTTTGGGTGGGGTGTTTTGGATACGAAATTCTGATTGGCTAATCTGAATTCCACATCACAACATAGATAAGAAAACTTGTCCATTTTGTGGCCCAAAAACACCATGATTGTGTATTTTTGCAAGATGGTTTCTTGCCTATATTCAATAGATAAAATTGCCGAATCAAGTTGTTCAGTATTTTTAATCAGTTCCAGGGAACCAATCAGGCTTTATAATGTATGGACTATATTGACATACCCAGACAAAGTGAAATCAAAACTGATTCACGCGAGAAATATCCATAAAATGGAAGCATTCAAGCTCAAAGAAATTATCAGAGAGATATATATTTTCCCAGAAAATTTTGTTTTTTCCAACAAATGATAAAAATTGGTGGCATTTTTATGAAGAAACATTTCTTCGTTCCATTATTGTCAGTTCGATATCATGTTCAAGGAGCATATTACGATATATTCCAAGGAGCATCTTGCATATATTCTACAGCATAATCGTATATATGTGTATTAAAGGGGTATCTTGATTTTTTACGAATGATTTTTTAATAACGGTTTAAGAGGTCATATTCAAGTAGCATCTTTGATGTTAAAAAAAATAAAAAAATCAATTATCTGATAAAAGGATTTTTTAACTATATATATATAGTTTTTTATAATTAGACAAAATCAATGGAAAAGCAAAAAAAATATGCAAAGAAAATCAGTATATTGCACAAACTCATAGAATAAAGTTCTTCTAACTTACTCTATGATTTTAGGTCTTGATGAAAAAAAAGTAAAAATTTATTACACGAATTTTATACACTGACAAGTGTGAATCATCAGATCGAAACTCTAAAGCTTAGGAAAATATATTAAATTTGAGTATTTTGTTTAATTTTTTAATTACTATTTGTTGAAGTAACCTCATTTGTTATAAAAAAATTTCTATTAACAGAATGAAATTAAGGCTGCCTTGCAAGGAGAATGCATTAATAAATTTGATAGAAAGCATGCTCACAAAGAATTCAAGCATGCATTGAAAGTGATGGTTGGCCAACTAAATGTTATATTAATCACATCATAGTAATAGTAATATGTGTTTGCTACTTAATAATTGATCGTTGGTTCTTCATAGTAATAGTGTCGCTGTAATTAATTTGAACTCTTTAGTCTGAAATAAATTAATTAGCATTGAAAAGCCAAAATAATTGCTATAAACAGCTTTGGCTAACAACTATAGAGCCAACTTTATTTTGAAAAAGCAAAATATATAATTTGTCACAAGAGGAAATATTGATATTAATGTGGATTTACCTTGGATTTTTTGGAATTCTAATATAGTAAACATACATTTGAGAATTGGAAAAGTACATTTATCAATTATATTTGCAAGTAGAGCTTTTTTCCGGGATATTATCCTATGAATAATCCATTTTAATTTGAAAAATTATAAGATTCAGATATTCTGTTAAATAGTAATTATAATAGGATAATAATAACGGATAATAATAATAATTCTGGAATAATTTTTCCAGTATAGTTTTCACCGTTATCTAGTTTTTGATTACATTCAAATGTAAGTTTTTTAAATTTTTTTAGATGGCTTCATTGATGTATTCAACTGCGAAGTTTTGATCCTCCTTTATTTTTGACTTGAAGATTTAATCAATCAGAATTTTCTTTATTATCAAGAAGTTTATCAATAGGATTGTCAACCGGACTGTGTTCCAGACTTGGGTTTCTATTCGAATAAAACAAATGAAACAATAAACAAATAAAGTGAATAAAACAAATGGCTCAAATTAAATAGCTAAAACAGATTATTCAAATGATTTGAATATATAAAACGAATAAATTAATAAAACGAATAAATTAATAAATCAAGTAATTTGGATAAATGGATAAAATTAATAAATCAAATAATTCGAACAAAATAGGTAAAAACAAAGATAAATAAAACGAAAAAATCAATTCGAATAAACAAATGATTCGAATAAAACGGATAATAATAAAAAGGTAATAATATATAATTCAAATATTTCAAATATTTCAAAAGAATTCGTATCAGAAGGAATGGGCATTCATGAGACAATGCATGAAATATGTCATCATCATTTTCAGTCCATGTATTTTTTTTGAAGCCCTTTCAGTTGATGTTTTAAATTTTGCAAGTGATTTCTTTAATCTGGTTTTTTAATGAAAAAAAATGTGTCATTTATATTTACAACGAAGTGACATTCGTTGAAACAAGATTTCACTGTATACATGTTGATTATAATCAATAATTCATAGGATTTATTACAGTATTATTATTATTATTATCCATTTTGTGGATTCTAAATCCGGATATCCGTTCAAAAATTAACCAGACGATAACAGATCTAATCCTAAGGTATTATACAGCTCTATTTCCAAGAAACAAGTTTATTTAAACAGCTACTACATACCTAGAAGGAGTGCCTCCTACAGATGACTAGAGCTGTGAGGATAATTTTAAGATTATGTTTTCCTTACAAGCGTGCGTTATTATTATTATATACTTTGAAGAAATATTTTTATATTAATGTTCCATTGTGGATAAAAAATTATTATTGAAGAATATAAATAAATAATCTTCAATTATCCAATTAGCTATGATTACATAAATTTATTGTTAAAAGTAGTAAAATACAATAATATTATTTTTCAATTATTTGAAATACTTCTAATTCTTCATATTTACTACCACTTACTATATTAATGTTGCTATAATTATGACTATCACTGTAAATAGAACAATTATTTGATGTAAAGTAAAGATCCCAACCATCTCCGCCAAAAACAGCTGGATTTGAAGGTTCACAGTAAATTGCATGTTGATAATTATTAATAACATAGCTAAACTGTACAGAATCAATATTATTTCTATTACTAATATTAAAAATAAAACTTTCAGTTGTGTATTTAGATATAGCAGCACCATTATTTAAATTCCAATTAAGTGGATTATAACCTCCCACTAATTGATCTGAATTTTGTATTTTGCAAACTACAAGAGTTTTATTGATATTATTA